TGGGTCAAACTGACCCAGGAACATTATTGCTGTTCCTCAGAAACGAACATAACAGGAGGGTTAAAACAGCAGATTAGAGGACCGGAGTTAATCTCCTGCTAATTGCTAYTAAAAGCAGTCATGAAATAACGACCAATGCTATAATAGTTGTTTAGGGTTCGTTTGTATTTTTATGTTTTAGTCTTATCATCTCTGTTTGTTCAATTCACTGTGGGAAAGTTGTGAGTTTCTGCTGTTATCTTGTGTATCACTGTTGTGTCACTCTGCAGGCTGCGCTAACAAGGGTTCAACATGCTGCAGATAGTTCAGAGTCCTCCTCAAGCTGTTGTCTGAAATTACTTTAATTAGTTTTATGACCTGTCCCTTTAGTTGCATTAATCCAGGTTTTGTCAGTGGATCACAGATCAAATTAAAAACATTTTAAAGAGTTAATTATTTACAGCTTTAGTGCAGCTATTAACTGAAATCGGAAGTTAAAATAACTTTGTAGGCATTAAATATATTTTATTTCACCAGTGCACATTTTAAATGTATTTGTGTGGTCATGCTTGGCTAAAACTCCATCGCTTCTTTCACCTGCTCATTTGTCCTGCTGGCTAACACCCCACCTCCACCCTCCTGCCACCACATCACCGTTTTCACCCCTCCGCCGTGTTGACCACACCCCTCTGTCCGGCGTGGATGGCCGTCGTCTCGGTGCGCGTTTTCTCCCGTTGTCGTGTTGTCATCGAGCCGCGCCACAGCTTTGCCTAACCCTGCCATTGTTGCTGCTGTCTCTGTCCACTCGTCTGCTCACGAGCCCGACTGTGACTCACTGTGGGCGCAGGGACGGGCTGGCTGCTGGCTGAAGGTACAGTAACACCGCTCTGTGTGGAGTGTCGCTCCGTCTGCTTGTCATGCTGCTAATTCACACTCGCATCAACTCTGTGACATCATCAATTCTGAATCAAAAACACAAGTCTTGTGTGTTCAGTAATGTTTGTGTTATAATGCAGTAGTTAGTTTAGATGTGTGTGCCTTTAAATTTCAGACGATGATGTAATTATCAATAATCAGCCATAATAACATCATGACGACTGACAGTCAGTTTTAAAACATCGGCAGGAAAAGGAACGGCTTTGAGGAGCGTTACATTAAATCTAACTTCTTATTAATCCAATCCAGCATTTATGGGATAAACTAAACAAACTGAGTAATTTTAATCTCCTGGTAGCCACGTCCTGGCTTAATGCGTTGCAAGAATTTGTCTGGATCAACTCAAATATGGGCGGTGGTCATAATGTTATGGCTGATTTGTATGGCTGAGCAAACAAGACAAAAAAAATCTCTTGAGAGCTGGTTTCACCAGTATTAAATGATTTCCACAAATCTGGATCCTTTTTCTGTTTGAACCTTTTTAATGTAATCACTAACAGAATAAAATTAAATTTTAATCGATAAGAAAATTTGAATCGGTTTCTGATACGCGGGAGTTTCTGGGTCTTCTTGGTTAAGTGGTGGTTGTTTGATCCAGGGACACGGCCGGTCAGGAGAGGTTTAACAGCATCACGTCGGCCTACTACAGAGGAGCCAAGGGAATCGTGCTCGTTTACGACATAACGAAACAGGAGACCTTCGAAGACCTCCCCAAGTGGATGAAAATGATCGACAAGGTAACCAACGCTTAAAACATGTCAGAACCCGGATTTAAGGGGCGTGTTTTTAAAGTGCATTTGAGTCCAACTCTTCCCGTGGCTCAAATGAGACCAGATGACTGAAACTGAAGGCTTTTTCACAAAACAGCTTAAAGTGCCTGTGACATGCATATGTTTCAGTTACAAAAAGTCAAAGAAAACATATAAACAGGAAGTTACATCAAAGGGGAACACTTTAGGAAAGCAAACTCCCTCGTCTTTGTCTTTTGTAACAATATTTTTTGACTCTTCTTTATCTCTTTGATAAAAGCTCCAAATCTAAATGTAAAGAAACATCAGATTCTTCTCCACAGCCTGTGTTGTTAACCGTTGTAGCAACGCTCTGTTTACATGCAGACGTTCCTCTTTGACGCCACTTCCTGTTTCTTCACAAACAAATATCTCAGCAACTGTTGGTCTCAGCAGTGTGAATCTTTTTAGCAGTATATTATCAATGTTAACTTTACAAACATGCATTCATATTTATTACTAAAGTTTGATGTCACAGGCACTTTAAGTTCAGCTCCATGCCTTTTTTTTTTGGTTCCTCGATGCTCGCTTCATTTCTGAAAATTCACATCTGTGTGGGACGTGCCCGGCTCCTTCTAGCATAAATGTTTGCTGAACTGTATGAAAGAGCCCCTGAACGTCTCTTCCCTCGCTTCTGTTGTTTATCTCAACATTTAATAAAAAAGCTCCATGTCCTTTTAATAAAAAGTTTCATGGCTGGTTTTGTAATTCTGCTCGGCTCTGTGTCGATTGAAGTACGCCTCGGAGGAAGCCGAGCTTCTGCTGGTTGGGAACAAGCTGGACTGTGAGGCCGATCGAGTCATCTCCAGACAACAAGGAGAGAGAGTGAGTGCTCATCTTAAGACACACTCTGCTTTAAAGAGACAGCCTGAAAACGAGTTGATCTGAAACATCTCTCAGAGGGGGGGGCTTGTGGAGTTACAATGAGGAGGAATTCAGACCAAATCATTGCAGTTTCACTTTATATAGACCCCACTGAATGATTTAAATGTTTCCTTTAAGGTGCGTCATAACATCCAAACCTGACATTAACTCTCCTAGAAACTGAAGTGATTATATGTTGGATTCAGCTGGTTTTATTTTATTTTATTTTTTTTATTTTAACAGTTTGCCTCCCGTATCAGTGGAATGCGCTTCTGTGAATCCAGTGCCAAGGATAATTTTAATGTGGATGAGATCTTCTTGAAGCTCGTGAACGATATCGTCAGTAAGGTGGGTGGCTTTATTATTTTTATTATGTGCTATTTTGATTTAATATTATATGTTTTAACAAATTACCGTCACAGCTGGTACATAAGCCTCTTCTACACATCAGCCGTCCCTGTGCACGACAACAGTGCTCGTTTTTTGCAAACGGGGCTGTTAGACGTTTTGTAGTTTACTGATTTTTTTTGTTTTGTTTTTTTGTGTGCGTTTGAAACTTTAGAAGAGACCTGAAAAAAAAGAAAACATAGTGCTTTTACTGCAGTTTTAGTTTTGTATTTAAAAATAATAATAATAAAAAAGATGGAAATGGGAAAATGTACAGATTTGTTTGGAAACAAACGGATTAAGTGTGAAAGGGCAGAGCTTTGTTGCTTTTGTTTTGCCATCTGTTGCATTTTTTTTTTTTTTTTGTGATATTTGATGCGTCAGACGGTTAAACGAAATCTTTGTTTCTGATCCATCAGATGCCGCTGGAAATGGCCAACAGGGAGCTCTCCAACAGCGTCCTGTCTCTGCAGCCTGAACCTGAAGTGCCCCCGGAGTTACCCCCGCCCCGCATGCGTTGTTGCTGAGAGTCAGAATCCCCCCTCCTCACCCCCCACAAAAAAACAAACAAACAAAAAAATAATACACACAAACCGTGTTTCTCACACAAAGCACACACACTCACTAAAACACGCAGCGTTACTAAATGACCACAAGGGGGCAGCACACAGCAGCACTTTGGAATGACCTGCTGAAAGGATGCATGGAATCTAAAACAAGCAGTATTAACTTCCTGTTTTCTTCTTCTTTGTAAGTGAACACGTTGGCCTGCAGCACACTAACACACCCCCACCCCCAATCTGTCTACGCCGGACCCCCGGACTACCTCATCGTTTGGCTGGTTCTGTTCGCTGTGGCCCTCAGGTTCCTTCCTGGTAGCAGTTGGACATGACTGAGGGCGCCACAGCTCGTACTCTTGATCATTTCTTTAGGTCGTTCAGATCACCTGAAGCTCACAGAAAAAACAATAACATCTCGCTACCTTTAGTTGGAACTTTGGGACTTTTTTAAACACATTTTTTACAAAGTGATGGATGGATTTGAGGTTTAGAAAGGCAGGTGGTGTAAATGTGATGTGCTGCTGTAACGACTGGAGAAGGTGCAGATGTTTGGGGCTAACCTGCAGGTGGTGATTTTAAAGTATTAAAAGTGGCTGGAATTTAAATTTGTATAAATGTTTTTGCACTACGAACCGTTTCCCTTTTTCAGCTGGCGTGCAGGAAAGTAAATAATTGGTAGTTAAGCTAACAAAGGTTGTGGCGGCTGCTTTTTGTAAGTGGAATGTAGAAGCAAAGACAGATGGGTAATGTAGTATTTGGTTGATTTTGATTTATCAGAGGGAATAGACTGTAAGAAACCAGCAGACTCCTGGTTTTATTCGTGTTTTGTCACTAATATTTATTTGTTTTTCTTGAATTCAGATAAAGAAACTGAGTTTTCTCCTTTTTTTGGTGGAAAATTTTTTGTTTTTAACTGTTTGAACGACTCAGGAAACCTTGATCGGCTCAAAGCTGCACATGATTCTTGGATTTAAATTCGCTTTGAGTTTCAAATTAAAGGCCCCTCATGTCGGGCATTGTGCCATCTAGTGGTGACGCTGCGAATTACAACACACTCATCCTCCCCTTTCATTGACAAAAAAAAAACAGTTTTTGGTTTGTCCTAGCAGCAGATTAGGGTTGAGAAGAGGAACCGGTAGGTTTGTTTCTTTTAAATGACTTAAAACCTGCAACCAGAACTGCTAACAGCTGGAATAAGGACAGGTTTTTATTAGTTGTGAGTTCAGTTTTGTCCCGTTACATACAAGAGAAATGTGAAATATTCCCTCCTGTGTTCATTAATAACAATTCTGGGAACTTTAGATTTGAACTGAGTGCAGTGTTAACCGTGTAGCACTGTGAGTGTGTGTGTTTTGTCGAACCGCGGCAAAAACATTTTAGTAAAGGAGAAGCCGACTGACATTACTCTGATACTACTCTCATTATCTATTTTTATTGAAATTTTATATTAAAGTTAAGCTTTTTGGGGGAGTTGAAATAAGACAAAGCACATTTTTAACAAACGAGCAGTTTCGTGCCAAAATGTAGATATTAAAATGTTTTCGAGCACAATTTCGCAATAAGCTCATCGGCCAGCAGGAGATCTTTCTGGGAAATTGAAGTTTTATCGCTCGTGTTTGGAGGCTTTTCTGCAGGTGGCTGTTTTGGAAATGAAATGTTTATTTTGTCGTCTCTTTTGACACTAACCCTGTGGACTTTATATTCTAATAACCAAGCCTTATTATACTACTCTTCATTTGCAATGTGTATCTTTTTTTCTTTCCCGAGATGGATTCCTGTTCTTTGTGTTAAACCTGTTAAAATTTGTTTGAAGCAGATTTGCTGTATTTATAACTTGTGGCATTCTTGAACTAATGAAATGCAATTAAAGATGTTTATATTTATTACTAATTTGGAGCTTTTTTTTATTTTAATGTGTGAGTGAATGTGTTTTAGAAAACTGGACTGAATGTGAATGGCTCTCAGCTGCTACAACTTACAATTTTAGCTCAAGGTTTGTAAAATTGACTGAGATAGACTTTAATGTTTGTTTGTTTTTAGCTCAGTGGTTCTCGGTAGCTTGTGGCGCATGCGCAGTTGAGCCGGTCGGACCTGCTCAACCGCGCATGCGCATAGCAGAAAATCACGCGCGTCAAACCTCACGCCGCAGCGGCTGCAGATTTTACGAGTCGGACAGGAGAGGTTCACGCGCTGCAACATGTACGAAAAAAAGAAAGGAGACTTAGCACCGGGAGGGAGAAGAAATCTGACTTTTTAAAATTAATTTGAGTTTAAAGAAACGTTTCCTGCAGATGCAACCTGTCACTGAAACCCGGCAGTAATCTGGTTTTATTGCAGCATTTCTCCCGGAGGCAGAGGGGACTACAATGACAACCTGGTGAATGTTATCGGGATGGAGTAAAAAAAAAAAACCGTCGCAGGGATGCGCATCCACACAAGGAGAGCAGAGATTTCTCCTCGTGGATTGATCGTTTCCTCCTCCAGCCTCCTCCTGCTGCCGGTGTCGGTGTAGAATGGAGAGCTCCAATGGTTCCGAGTCCAAACCGCAGAGCCACCAGCTGGAGAAGAAGCGGCTGAACCGAGCGCCTTCCCCGGCCAGACCTTTCCTGAAGGATGTGCACTCCCGCTCCAACAAACCACCTGCCATCGGTCCCAAATCCCCCAAACTCGGCAAGCAGCAGTCCGCCTCCTCAGCTCATCCGAACCGCAGCTCCAGGCGCAGCACAGCCGGGGCCAAAGACAAACCAGCCCCGGTGAAAAGTAGCTCCAAGTCCACCGCCGCCAAAAAGCCCGTGAAGGCGCCCCAACATGCAGCCGCTGAGCCCAGAGCCCCCGGCATCAAACCGGACAGCACCAGCAGTCCGGTTCTCAACAAACACAAGAAGGGCAAACCAGCCTCGGGCTCCACGGGCCCGCCCAGCCACGAGTCTCCGATCCGGGTACCGACCGGAGCGCCTCTCCGGGTCAGCCAGACCGACAGCAGCTCAGACCTGTCGGACTGCCCGTCAGAGCCGCTGTCCGACGAGCAGAGGCTGGCGCCGGCCGCCAGCAGCGACGCCGAGTCCGGTACCGGCTCGAGCGACCGGGACCAGCTGGTGGAAGCAGCCGGTGGTCCTCCGCGGTGCTCCGGCGCCAAGGGGAGCGTCACGTCTCAGGCTCAGCCGGGTCCGGGACAGAAACCCAAACCGTCCACGGGCTCACAGCTGAAAGTGTCAGGAACCAGAGAGGAGGAGCTGCTGAGGGAAATAGAAGATCTGAGATCTGAGAACGACTACCTGAAGGTTTGGACCTCAAGTCTGCACGTTTGATTAAAAATATAAAATTTAAACTCAAACATTAAACAGAGCTTATCATAAACTTTATCAAACAGTGCTGTTTGAAAGTGTTAACGCCATTAGTTTCCCAGAGACTATGAATGCAGATCTGAAATGCGGGTCCACAGTCAATGTAAACAATGCTGGATCCACAGAAAACCATCTGGTTGTTTATGTCACATGATGCTGCTGGCTTTAGTCTCTGTGGGTAAACAAAAATGCTCCATAAGTTTAAGCTGTTTTCAGTAGCTTCAGCTGTTTCAGTAAGTAAACAAACACAAGTGGCATCTGGTCACAAATTTTGCTTAAAAGTTTTTAATTTTTTTATATTCATTTCCTTTAAAAACAAAACCAATTTTATTTACAATAAAAATACAAATCACAAATAAAATATGCAGATTTTGGATCTAGATCTTCATGACTTTGCAGTGAAGTACCTTTTAAGATGGCCGCTACAGGCTAACCCCAAGTTTCACGATTTTGCAATAAATACCTTTAAAGATGGCCGCCACAAGCTCATTGACCTTAGGTAGTCCAAACAAAAAGGGGTACAAGTCGGTCAGTTTTGTCGCTATTGAGCTAAAATTTGGCGTGATAGCAGCTGAGAGTCACCCCAACATGTATGCAGAGTGCTGACAAATTTTCTTTCCATCCATCCATCCATCCATCCATCCATCCATCCATCCATCCATCCATGCATGCATGGTGCTTATCTCTCATGTATTGAGTTACTCTTCTACGTGAGCATTTGCATAAAACTCCCACCCATCTCAAAAAGTAGGTTATCCCCATAAGTTGAGGAGGGGTGAAGCATACAAATCAAGCTGCGAACACGGCATATTTGCATGTCACTGATGAGGGTAGTATTTCAGATTTGGTTGCACGTGTCAGCCGGTCCTTTCTCTCTGCGCCATGCCGACGAAACACAAGAGAGTTAATCAGCTTTGCTGGCTCTGCTCATAATGGTTTTATCCCTCAGGACCCGATAACAGTCAGATGTCCCTTGTGTTTTGGGGGTTCAGAGACCTGGTTCCCAGTCTGCCAGCTGGGTCACCCTCCCCCCACTCAATCCTCCCTGGCCCTCATGCACCCTAATAACTGGGACTTCCCCCTTTTTATAGCCCATTCAGGAGGTTTAGTTTTCTGTTGTTGTGCTTCAGATGATTCTTGAACCGAGGAGAATAAATAAAGTGGAAATTATTATCATCCAAAATTGGGTAAAATGTGAAAGTGGCAAACGATAAAACAAATATGCAAAATAAATCAGTGTTTACCCCTCAGAGATTGGTAAATTCAGTCAATTATTTGTACATAATTGGCTGAGAATCTCTTATAAATACTTAATTTTCTGTACCGGAGGCGACAATTTGCAAAACTTGTGTGAATGCAGTGCAGTTAATAATTTAAAGGAGTAATCAGTAACACAAAATTGGTATTTATTTTGTTCTTTCTCCAAGCTAAAATATTAAATTCCATTTATTGGCCTTTTGAAATGATTCATTTAAATAAATAACTAAAGAAATATCTTAAGTCAGTTAGCAAAATGTGATTTTTCAGAAAAGAAGCACCAAAACCAGCATCTAAATTAGAAGAATTTGCTAATTTGTTAGTTTTTCATTCATTAAAGGTCCATCCTGTAGCGTTTAGTGATATCTAGTGGTTCAGATTGTGAATTACACCCATCAGGTTTACTGTTCACCATCAAACACAAAGGAAAAGCTTTGTTTTTTTTTTAATTTTATAACATATTTCAACAGCTGTTGGCTGACCCCCACACTCTAAACTCCAGAGGTTTTCTTTAAATATGCTCCTCAGCCTCTGGTTTTTAACTCGACCATCGATCTGTTCGACCGTTGGCGCGGTCATCATGTCCGTCCTCCGGGGGTCAGATAACACCGAGCTCAGTGCTTTCCTCAATCAGGGTAGATTTAGTTTTCTTTAATCGACACCCCCCACCACCCCTCTTCCTTCCTTTATGCATCTAATTGTCCTTTCATCAGATGAGCCCTTTGGGATATTTGTCTCAGGGGAAATCGACAAAACAAACAGATTATTTTGAAAGTGATTCAAATGAGAAGAGTTAAAAACGTCAGATCCAGCGGATAACAGACCCGTCATTTTACACTTGTTTTAAAAACATTTCCATTAATTAAATGATATATTCATTTTGAGATTATTAATAATTGTTCAGAATATCAGAATTTAAAGAAAGAAGTTAATAAATTTGACTTTTTTAATCTTTTTGGCAAATGGCTGAATTTTATTAGCAGATATAAACTTTGAATTCTAATGAGGATAAAACCAAAAGATTCAACACATTTGTTAAGGAGAGCGTTTTTCAGATTAATTTTTTTATTTACCGTAATTTAACCAGGCAAGTCCCTTTGAGATCTCAGATCTCTTTTAAATTGCAATTTCCATTTTGTAATAATTAACAAAACAAAACAGCCACATTTTGACGTTTAAACTCTTAAGAAACTAAAAGAAGCATTAAAGTCTCTGTGCAAAAACTACAAGCCAGACAAGTTGTCACTTTTGAATCCCAGGATGAAGTGGAGGAGCTGCGGGCCGAGATGGAGGAGGTGCGAGACAACTACCTGGAGGAGGAGGTCTACCAGCTGCAGGAGCTGCGGAGGGAACTGGACCGGGCCAACAAGAACTGCCGCATCTTACAGTACCGCCTGAGGAAGGCCGAGCAGAAGAGCCTGCGGGTCGCTCAGACGGGCCACGTGGACGGGGAGCTGCTGCGTAGTCTGGAGCAGGATCTGAAGGCGCGTGTTTTTTACCAACATGTTTGAATTTTCAGAGCTTTTCCAACAGCTTTTTGTTTCATATTTCTGAAAGAATTCAAGTTGTCTGTTTTTACAAATAAGACGTTCACGATCATGAACTGCCGCAGTTGCCTTTGTTTCTTAACTGAATCGTCTTGTTGTTTTCGGACCGACCTCAGGTGGCCAAGGACGTGTCGGTGCGTCTGCACAACGAGCTGGAGAGCACCGAGGACAAACGCAGCCGAGCGGAGGACGAGAACGAGACGCTGCGGCAGAAGATCATCGAGGTGGAGATCTCCAAACAGGCGCTGCACAACGAGATGGAGAGGATCAAAGAGGTGAGAGCTGAAAAAAAAAAAAAGACGTCCGAGTTGAGTTTAATAAATCCTGGAGGACAGGCGACGAATCAGCTGCAAATAAGATAAACTGCAGCACAAGTGAGTCACGTTTTGTTGTGCAAGTGTGAGTTTAATCCAGTGAAATAAGTCAACCCTGAGTCTCTTGTGCCATCTTTCCCACCATGTCTAGACGATGTGTGCCATCTAAGTATCTAATTAATAAAAATCTCTGTGGGTTCAAAGGTCACAGGTTCAAATCCCCCGGCGGCATTACTACAACATTTTACTCCTGTGGTTTATCCTCGGTCTGGTTATCAGTTGTTGTTTGTTAGCTGTGTTTCAAACCGATGCGTTGTGTTTGTGTGTCGACGTGTTGCTCCGTGAAGTCCCGTGTCTCGTCTCTCTCGTGAGGAAGTCTCTGCTTTGATGGAATAAGATGATCAGAAGCTTTTCCTCTGAGCCGCTGGAGCTCAGCTGATCAGACTAATCGATGGTGACGACAGCAGGTAACCCACCGTCTGCCAGCAGGCAGAAAGTAGGTCAGCCTCAGTTCCCTCCGCTCGGCTCCGAGACGCCGCCGCCGCCGCTTTGGCGTTTTATGTCTTCCCTCAGAAGTTCTGTTCGGTTGATTCACAGCGACGCCGTCTTCAACACGACTTCTGTTTTTATTGCTTTTTGTTGTGAAGATTTGCGTCAAAGTTTATGACTTCAGCTGTCAGTGCTGTGTTTGTTTGTTTGTTTGTTTGTTTGTTTGTTTGTTTGTTTGTTTGTTTACAAAAGCCTCAGTTTTCTTGAAAGAATCACTCCGCCTTTCATGTCACAGATTTAAGCTGAGAAAATCTTATGATGATAAATGATATTTGTTGAGGATTACTCCCAACTACTACCACACCAAAATTTGCAGTTGCAAAATTAACTGAGTTTTGTCATTTTTGTTTTGCTATGATTAATTTAATAATTACTTTCTGTGTGGTTTATTACATATTTTGTTAACATAAAGCATTAACTCCAAGTAGTTATTGGCAACGTTTTAAACTAAGATCCGATGCAATCTGTTATCACTCAGAATATATGTTTGGGATAACTCTCAGCTACTTCCACACCAAAGTTTAGCTCAGTATCTACAAAACGGACTGAGTTATTGCCACTTTTGTGTTTTTTAAGGTCAATTGGCTGTGTTGGCCATTTTGAATTGAGTTGCCTCCAAAAATTAATCAGTCGTAGATGTTCACCCACTGATTACCTCAGGAAAGTTTCATTAAAAAATTTTTTGTGTTTCATGAYATATTTTGCTAACAGACAAACATAGCTGACTTTAATATCAATTGGAAAGTTTTAAAATCTGGTCTTATTCCATCAGTTAACCATTTGGTATGTGTTGGGGATCAGTCTCAGCTACTACCACACCAAATTTTAGCTCAATACTAATAAATTTAGCTGAATTACGTCCTTTTTTTGTTTTGTAAGATCAGTAGGCTGTGGCGGCCATCTTGAATTGGATTGGCTCCAATTGTTAATGAGTTGCAGAGCTCCATCCATTGAGTCATTTCTGAGAGTTTCTAATTCATCCAGTGGTTCATGAGAAATTTTGCTAACAGACAAACGCATACAACTAAAAGTGACCGAGGCGCCTCAGAGCAGTTTTCTGAGCGGCTCGCTTCATAAATGTTTGATGGTAAAAAAAAAATTAAAAATGGCGCCGAGACGAGGCTCGGGCTGTGAAACTGGTGGGAGGCGTAGAAGAGCTGCTTCAAAACGACTGCAGTGTTTTTTTTTTTATGTCTTCCCTCGAGGTTTGTCCCAGAAAAACACACTCTGTCTCAGAGTTTTTTTTATATATATATACAGATACAACCCCACAATATTTTTAAATGAGGACTCCACATTTCTTGCMTTGTGTGGAGGTCATAATGCAGATTAGAATCATTTTAACGACAGGAGCTTAATTTTAATCCCTGTGGCTCAGAATCGTCTGTTTGAGCTGCAGAAGTTACAGACTGAAGAGGAGGATCAGGTGTTAAGAATGTCGTTCGACTGGAATGAGAGGACGCACCTTTACCTGTCCACGTGTCTCACACCTCGTAAACAACAGCTGAGGTGTGACGCAAGAGAAATGCAACAATTTTGACGCAACTCCCAGACTGTAAACACTGTGCGTACGTCTACAGCTGAACGGAATGTTGGTGTCCGTCCAATTTAAGATGYCCGCCACAGCTGAGRGACATTAGCAAACACAAATATGMRTCTATCTRAGTGAATTTTGCAGATATTGAGGTAAAATTTAGCGTTGTAGTAGCTGAGAGTCATACGTAACACATACTCTGAAATAAACAAGGTTTGGCAAAAACYTGTTTCACAACATAAGATCCTGTTTTTTTTTTATCTTTAACAGGCATTATGCATGCCTTCAAGGAATGCCTTTAATTTATAGAGAAAAAAACTGATTTAAAAAAAAAAACAGACTCCACAGGAAATCTGCCAGATTAAAGATTCTCATATCAGTAAAAAAATAGTTTTATTTACATTATGTTTATTGTCTCATTAGAGTTTAAGTCATGTGTATCAAGAGGCCATCTTTGCTCCGGACTCYAGGGAAGATCTGCGCTGAGCTTCATGCTGATTAGGCTGTAATTGGTTTTCCTGATTAAAAACCATGAAGTAATCCTGTTAAACTTTTCTCTCCTCTGTGGTAAACTAATCCAAAACAGCCTGATCCACTCTGGCTTTTAAAAGCCCGTCTCATTCTGTGCTCCTTCTCTGCTGTCAGGGTTTGATTCTGGTGTCGCGGCGTTAATTAATCCAACAGAAAAATAAAAATAAAAGCCTGATATGTTCCGGTATCCCTCCGGGCGGCGGTTCTGGTTCCTGTTAACCTGCAGGGGTGGTTTATAAACCTGATGTAAAGGTGGGGGGAGCTGSTCGACGGGTTAAGCTGTTTTTGGTCTCTTTGTGATCGTTGGAATGTTTTTTTTCGTTCCTGTGATGTTTGAAGAACGGCCCGCTGATTCGTGTAATGAAATGGAACTGATGAAATGTCGACACGCAACACGAGCGCCAGGTGATTTATTACCTCCTGATAAATTCATCTTTCATTAAAGCCAAACGGGGTTTTCCTCTGCAGCTCGTCTGTTTCCCTCATGGTGACTGGCGGGTGTTTCTCTGAAGAACCTGGAACACCTTTTCAACTGATTAACTTTTAATCCAATTAAAGATGGTCGCCACAGCCATCTTCACTTAAAAAACACAAAAGTGACTATCAGTTTTACTGATCCTGGCCTAAATTTAGTTGTGGTTGTACCTTAATGGTATTATTAAGTTACATTTCAAAWGTTGCACCGTTATGGAAAACAAATTGAACATATAATGTTAGTTATATTCAAGCCTAACAACACACAACACTTCAAATGRCCAATCACTGCAGAGATGCCTCTGACTCATTCTCCTCAGCAGAAGTTCCTGCTCGTTTCTCACATCTCTGTCACGTCTTCTTCCATCTTTCCTCCGCTGCTGCTGGAGTGAAGGAATCCRGTTGACCTACTTAACGTCTTGTGTCTCCACCGATTGGAAGGAGAGCAGACGTGAGAAAAAGAGCAGCAAAGGGATGAGATCTGCTGCAGTGGCACACTTCACCTCACAGATTCTCAGAAGTCTGATCCTTGTGCTCATATTTGCTGTTCAATCATTRTCAGCTCAATTTAAAATACTACTAAGGGGCCTCWGCTGTACGTGGAAGKARCRTACGCTACCTCATTGTATGTGGAAGAACCTTACGCTACCTCAGTTGTATGTAGAAGACACTTACCTCACTGGCACATGGAAGAACCCTACGCCACCCCACTGGCATGTGGAAGAACTCTATGCTACCTCACTGGCATGTGGAAGAAACCTACGCTTACCTCTGCCATGTGGAAAAATCCTACGCTACCTCAGTGGTATGTGGAAGAACCATACGCTACCTCAGTGGCATGTGGAAGAACCCCACGCTACCTCATTAGCACGTGGAAGAACCCTACGCTACTTCAGTGGCATGTGGAAGAACCCTACGCTACTTCAGTGGCATGTGGAAGAACCCTACGCTACTTCACTGGCACGTGAAATAATCCTACGCTACCTCAGTGGCATGTGGAAGAACCCTACGCTACCTCAGTGGCATGTGGAAGAACCCTACGCTACCTCATTGGCACGTGGAAGAACCCTACGCTACCTCAGTGGCATGTGGAAGAACCCTACGCTACTTCACTGGCACGTGGAAGAATCCTACGCTACCTCAGTGGCATGTGGAAGAACCCTAGACTAACTCAGTGGCATGTYGAAGAACCCTATGCTACTTKACTGGCACATGGAAGAACCCTACGCTACCTCATTGGCACGTGGAAGAACCCTACGCTACTTCACTGGCACATGGAAGAACCCTATGCTACCTCAGTGGTATGTGGAAGAACCATATGCTACCTCACTGGCACATGGAAGAACCCTATGCTTCTTCACTGGCACGTGGAAGAATCCTGCGCTACCTCAGTGGCATGTGGAAGAACCCTACGCTACCTCAGTGGTATGTGGAAGAACCCTACGCTACCTCAGTGGTATGTAGAAGAACCATCCGCTACCTCAGTGGCACGTGGAAGAACCATACACAGCCAACACAGGCTGAAGGTTTGATGCAATAAATTAGTGCTTAGAGTAATTTTTTGAAAATTATCTTGTGCAACACTGCAAGTTGTTTGCTCAGAATCTGAGTTGTGAATGACTTATTTGTACATCCAATCATAGCTCAGTACATATTAAACTGACAAAATTAGCATCATTTTTATGTTTACTAAATTGATTAGCTGCGGTAGCCATCTTGGTTTTGATTTCATCCTGAAGGTATTCATTTGTAAACGTGCATCAAATTATTAGATTAAAATTTATCCAGTGGTTCATGAGATATTTTGTGAACAGTCACAAGTGAAAACACGATCCTCTTGATGATTATGCTATCACCACGTGGGGTTTCAGAG